CCCCCCCCCCCCCCCAAAAAAAAAAGGGGTAAAAGTAGAGTTCTAAAAACTTCTTCCATCATATATTCTGTTTCATTTTTCATTTATCTAAACATAGTCTAAGGTACTATAGTGGACTATTTATCCACTACCAATGTGAACGTTAATGGCAATGAGGAAGATAGCCATGAAGCCAAAGAAGAGAAGGGAATGAACAAAGATGGATATTCCACTTGTTTGGAAATTGCAGAAATCCACAGGCCTGCCTTTGCCAGGAAGCTGGAACAGTAACCCTGGTGAAAGCACCACAAACAGGACCAACCCTATCACCACACCAGCCCAGTCACCCATTTTTGCTAGTGAGAAACCCAAAAATGCTAAAGGAAAATGTAAAGGTGAATGAATTTATATTGGAATGTGTGAAGGGTTTGGCTATGGATATGGATGTGATATAGGACAACAAGGGTAGGGAGAGACATTCGAATTAAAAGATGGGACAAATAGAATGGCTTGGATCAAAGATTCAAAATCGGCAGAGGCATTATTGAATGCAACGATTCCTTGAAAGTTACATCCTCAACTCAATGCATTAGTCATCACGATGATTGTTGGGATCTCTCTTATCGGGGACGGCTACTAATTGAATTTATTAGGCATTATAAAATTACTTTTAATATGATTTCTTGGATAATTATTATAAAAATTAATAAATTTACTAAACTAAATTATTTATTAGATAATATGATATTTTATGTTATCAGTATATATGTATTATTTATTTAACTCTATTTTAGCATGTTTTTATTAATAAAAAAATTACAATAATATATTAAATATATACGTGTTTTTTAAGATACATATGTTTATTTTAGTGTTATATATATATATACATATATATATATATATGATGCGTGCTAGTAACATATCTTTTAACACTATAATATAGTACTCTCCTGAATATAGTATTTTTTTTCATTGATTTGAAAATTGGACAAATTTGAAATACATTTTTCATTAATTGCAAGTTTTTGGAGGTACTTAAAAAGTTCTTTGTTACAAAATTTTAGGGTTTAGGGTTTAAATTTAAATTTAAACAATGTATTAAAAATTTGAATCATAAATAACAATTTGTTTTTTCTTTAAAAAAAACATCTCTTAATCACTACAAGAAATGTTACATATAGACATACAAAAAGTGTCATTATAGGTACAATATATATAGGTATATGTTTATTTGATATATAGTTACATACAATTTTAGTGTTGATTTTGAATGAGATTTAACAACATATTTTGTGTGTCACTATAGTTTATACTCACACTTTTTAATAATATACAAACATATATTGTAGTTATTGTGTAGGTAAAAGTAATTTTTGGTGACATATATAGTATCACTATAGGATATATGTCACTGTATGACAATTTTGTTGTAGTGTAAATTTTCATCCAACACCTTTTATTTTAAAAATTTAAATAGTTTACCCAATAAAATTATCGCTCACACCTCACTCATTTCTCATAAAAGAAATTTTTTTCTTTTTTAAGAAATTTAAATAGTTTACCCAATAAAATTGACGCTCACACTCATTTCTCATAAAAGGAAAGGTATTTAGTTGTCACTAAAATATAGTTTTGAAAAATATTTTTAAATGTATGCAACGGCTAAGTTTTGATTATTAAATAATGTTCTAAAAAATATTTGTAAGTGTTTTATAATGACTTAGCTTTCACCTGATTTTGAATTTGAGCACCAAAAAGATATTTTTAAATGTAAGCAACAACTAAGTTGTCATTATTGAATAATGTTCTAACAAAATATTTTTAATTGTTAAGTGATTGCTTAGTCTTCGATTGATTTTGAATTTGAGCACCAAAATAAATGATTCTCCATCCTTCTCTAATGCATTCCTATGAAGTTTAAAAATTTGTGTGACAATGTAGTAAACGACAACTAGGTCATCACTGTAGATGTTGACAAAGCAACGGTCAAGGCATCACTTAAATTACTTTTTTTTTTCATCAACCCATCCCCTCACGTTTGCCCCTTATTCCTAACTCTTTTTATTCCTCTCTTATTTCACAATCAAATTCACTTTTCTTTCTTTTTGTTTTAATTAGTTGCAAGTTAGAGTAGCGAAAGTAGCAAAAGGGCGACGACAATTATAGGTACTTTTCCCTTTCACAAGTGGTGGTGCTAATTAATGGTAATGATAGGATTGGAATGTTGGTATTTCAAGTGACTTATGTGTTGGTGCCTATGTGACTTTGGTGGCTTAGTTGAATTTTTTAGGGTTACAATGAATGAATTTTTTAGGGTACGGTGGCTTAGTGTTAGTGACGATGGTTAGGGGAAACAAAGAAAATATGTTGGGTTTGAGGAAAAATGGAGAAGCATTGTCATTATATATATATTTTTTTTTTGTTCTAGTTACTATTATTAATGAAAAATTAGTGTTGACTTTGTGGTTGATGATATTGTTTTCATCACTTATCCAACATTAAATTATATATTAGTATGAACATTTTTTTAATGATAACTTTTAATTGTTGCTTATAGTCAATTTTGTTGTTATCATACTATTGTTTTTATCTTTTAAAGTATATACCTTTCCACTTTAAAGAAACTTGATTACTCTCTCTAAGATTTATTAATGTATTCTTTTCTTATAAAGAATTGATATACTAAATATTATTTTTAATATGATCAACCAATTAGAAATCATCATAAATATAATTTTTAAAATAATTATTGAAATTTTATATACGACAATCCATATAATTGAATGAGAATGTAAAACTTCTTTTTAAACTATGTGTGCGTTCTAATCAAATTCTGTTATAAATATTTTAGATCTTATCAAATGTATGACTATGCACGCACACATATATAATACTTTTAGTTAAAAAAATATGCTTGGAAAGTTGGTCCTTAGATTGAATACAAATATATTAATAGAGAAATACTATAAACACTCTTTTCAAGTCTTTCTTTGTAACACTCTATTATTAACTAAAATTTATTTAAAATTACAAATTTTAGTAATCTTGGATCTTAGTTTATGAGTCTCTTTCCTAATTTAGTAGTGAGACTCATCAAAATTTGTTATTTTCAATAAATTTTAGTCAATAGCAAAGAAAGTATTAAAAAATAGTGTTGTTAGCATTTCTCTATATTCATATTATTGTCATTGGTTTGTGATACACAAAACTAGCATACATACATGAATTGAAAAGTAAAAAAAAAAAAAGGCAAGACCTTATTCCATGAAACAAGAATCAAAATATGAGAATTTGAAAACCTACCTCGACTAAATCATTGTTATTAAGTTCTATATATTACCCAAAGTCTCTATAGTGACACAATACTTATCACTAAAAATTATTTTTACCTTTATTATAGATACAATATATGTTGGTATATTATTAAAACAGTGTAGGTGTTGAAAGAAAATAGCAAATCAGACATAATAAAGGATGGAAACATTCTAGAAGATCATCATGAGAGCATTTTCACACATGAAGGAAATGACGTGTCATAGTCACACCTTTGGATTTTTTTTGTTATTCTATTATAGGACCTTTATATGATGAAATAAGGCATAGCTTGCTTACTGTGTGCTACTCTGCTTTAATTTCTTTATATACATACTGATGTAAAAAGGGTTCATATGTATTGAATACGTCATTTATCATTTATCCTTTATATCATTTACTCTTCTCATTATGGTATCAGAGCTAAATCTCGTTGCTCATCTCAGCCATGGTGCGCAACAATAATAATGGTGGTAATCAACTCACAAATCCAAGTCAAGACCCAACAAGTCCATACTATGTACACCCTAGTGATGGTCCTTCACTATTACAGTCACACCAGTTCTTACTCAATCTAATTACCATGCTTGGGCTCGCTCAATGAGGAGAGCTCTTGGAGCTAAGAACAAATTCGAATTTATTGATGGAACAATTCCAGTACCCACTCCTATTGAGCCAAGCTATAAAGCTTGGAGTAGATGTAACATGCTGATCCATTCATGGCTCATGAATTTGGTGTCGGCGTGTTTGAGACCGTTGATAGAACAAAAGTGATTTAAAATGTTAACAAAAATAGTTTTAACGGAAATCTCAACATGCATCTGTGTCATCCACCCCATTTCTTTATCATCCACTTGTTATTGTACTTAGTCGACATAATAGCCCCTTAGTTTCCAAGGGAAAACTTCATTATACTATTAGGGCATCTGATAGACAAAATCTTTAATCCAGAATCAACAACTACAAATGTCTAGTGAGCATTCATAAAGTGTTTAACAACCATTTGGACATCAGGTTTCGTATGAAAACGTAGTCCAACATATAACTCATCCCCAACACACCAAGAATTGGGAACGTTTAACCCAACATACCACATCTCTTGATCTGGATGAGACCAATCGATGTAACTATAATGTGGAGTATTGCTCCAAAATGGAGGTTGTGATGGACCTACACAGTGACAACAACCACAATTATTCAACAATAAATATGACTAAATTAAAATGATAGTACAATTTTTTTTAATTACCTGATTCGTTCATTCTAGGAGGCTCAACTTCAAATGGTGATTGTACGTTTATCATATGATTATCATTACTATCAATGTTACCTTCGTCTGATGAGCCATCATCTGCAATTTCATCATCTTGTTCAACATTGATATCATCATTGTCACTTAAGTTTGTTGCAAAATCAACGTTTGAATCAGGATGATTTATTGTGGCGAAATTCTTTACTCAAACTGATGGTGACTACTCATTACATTTGAAACACTGGAGGTTGATGCGCTTCTTCTGTTGTAGTTAAATCTTGTAAAGAAAAAGAAGATGTGACAACAATATCAAGATCAAAACCATCAAGCATGCACGCAACATCTTCATCGTTTGCAATTTCTCCAGCTAGATAAAAACACAGGATTCAGAGATTGTAAATATCTACAAGTGATGCTAGAAACAATTTGGTTATGATGCAATTTCAATTTGGCATGAATTTTTTTCTTTAGAGATTCAAAATCCAATCCACGATTTACATGAATTGTTTTCGTGTCACCTGTAAAAATGCAACCTTGATCATTGTTAATTCTATTACCATTATAATACAGTAAGCAAATGAAAGACATTTTGTAAATGAAAGTAGAAATGTGCAGAATCAAGAGATAGAGATATGAGAATGCATAGAATAGTTACAAAATGAAAATATCAGTCAAAGACTTGAGGAATATAGAATGAAGAGAATAATTCCTTCATCTATATATATTAAAACTTCTACTGAGAAGCTTCATAGGTAGTCAAACATAATAAATTTACCTTCAAGCGTAGCCAGAGAA